AAAAATTCCGTTCAGCGATGCCAGTCACTTTTGTTCTGTTGAGGATGGATATATATATATATATATATATAACACATCTGACGCCAGACTGTTCGTCAAACAAATTATAGTACAATAATCTTTATAAAAAGAAAAACGTTCCATGATTGGCCTGTGGGCGGAATACTTTCAGGTTGCCCACGCCAAAGCAGGTGAAATTTCTTAAGGAATCCACAACCGGAGCCTTCGGCTAGCCAAAGCCTGACCCGCAAGGCAGCGGGGCGGTGTGCGAAAACCGAAATCCACTGGGGGCCGTTGTTCATGTCATTGAATCATACGCCCTTTGGACGGGGTCAAACGTTCAATACAACTCAATGCCCAATTGAGCCGGTGACCACGGCGACAACCGGTGAAGTGTGTTGGGTTCGTTCGCCTCCTTTTGGTTGGTTTGGAATCAGGGTTTTAACCAACTGTCCTAGGTGAACTACCAGTGGTCCACGAACCCGGTTGTAGGCCCGGATATCGACTATTCGTCCTCTGACTTTGGTGGGAAAATACCTCCACCACGAGACGGCAGTGAGTAGGGCTTCCTCAACAGAGGCTATTTGAGACGCTTGGTTGCATGGGAGCAGTTCGCGAGGTGCAAGGGAAGGGTGACCCTAGACACCCACCCCGGATTATACTGAGGATATAATCCCCAACAGCTGGGTAACACTGAGATACACTCAAATTGTACGACAATAATAAGTTCTAAGCAGACTATGCGTTTCCTCACCTACCCCCCTTCCCTCGAGCATATCAAACTGACCATGGCAATAGAAATGCGTTCGGGTTAACAGGAACGGGCAAACGTACTTCAACTTCTTGCAACATTTTTGCATGGCGTGAGGCCAGTTCATCCACCTCTTTCATCGCTGTTTGTTGTGCCTGTGACTGAACCAGATCCTTGGCCGCACGCTTCATCTGTTCCAATTTTGGACTGACATCTTCCAGGCGATGTCGAACAGTCTAGAGAGAAGGGGGCAGGTCAATACAACAAAATAACGACAACAGGTGAATTCAAATGGAGCCGATCAATAAGTAGAGCTGGCTAGTCGAATTGAAACCATTACATAATGTCCCAATACGCACATATGCACTTACCTTTAACGAATCAATATACGCTTGCTTCGTAGCCATCAATCGGGCTGAGCTCAACGGTGCCCCGTTCTCATCCGCGACCACACTGGCCTCGGAACTGATCACCTGCACAATCTCCTGAGCCAAACCTTCCAACACAACGTTGACGTCCGTTTTGGCATTGGTCCATTTGGTGCACCGGTTCAATCGCATCTCCAGTGTGTTTCCCGCATTGACCAATTGTTGTTGCAGTTCCCGGATCGTTTGTCTGAATCCGTCCAGTTTATCATATACCAAAGTAGTGCTCACATTGTCCGCGGACTGAACGATTCGATCGGATAGAGTCACAAGCGGATCCAGGTACGCTTTGGTTTCACGAGTGAGGACCTCGGTGAGGACCTGCAATTCCGATTCCACCGGANGGGGGTGGATAGAAAATGGAAACAGGATGAGATTGAACCAAGTCACGTACAAAGAATCGCATACATCAGCAGCATGCGAGGATCTCATGGGTTCGTTCAGCCTTCCACGTGTAGCTGATTCCAGTTCATTCTCGTGAGGTTACACATGTCCGGTCAGTAATTCTGTGGAATTGGCGAGTATCGGTCAATCTAATGATTGATCGATTGGTACTTGTAAATCAGTTCCATGGAGTTACAATGGGACCGTTCGAATTCAAGGATTCATGTGTTCCTCGTGGCCGGGCACAATCCGATCAGATTTTTTTTTCGATAAAAGAATTTCTAGCATAAGAGTGAGCATAAGAGCTCTTATGCATAATAGACCTAGTGTAGTAAGTATGTAAGCTTAGTGTGAAAAATTGCTATTGCCGGGTACGTTAATCGTCGAGAATATTGAAAACACCGCCTCCAATTCCATTACATTCAAACTCCAGCGTACAACTAGCAGCAGGTACACGATTAATTTGAAACCTCCAACCATATATTTGGAGACTTAACAATGGCTTCGGGTGAACGAGAAGCGGTGTGTAGTAGACATATTGACACTACAAATGAAAGGTTACATATCAGAGTCTGTTTGAATGCCTGCTATTGCCATGCTCACTTCGCCCTTCTGCTGCTGCATTCGCACGACACTTAACCAGCTTCCAGGTCAGTGGTCAACACGACAAGCTAACGCTTAATGAGATGGGCGATGGGCGCTGAATGACTTGAGAAAATAATAATACAATGTGGCACGGGGATCCGGGCCTCGCCGAGAATGTGTGTTGAGGGAAGCTGACGTACCCGACCGGCTGCAATTCGACGCTCCATTTCGGCCTGACTGATTGCCTCATTTGGACAAAGGCATGCATTCAGTCGATCAGCGATACGAGTCAACCATTCATTAGTCTGTCCCACTGTTTGGTCATACTGAACGTGGAGTTCAGCCGATTCGCGCAGTTGATCCATCACATTCTGTAGGTCAGAGAGAGAGAAAAAGCGCATGGCAATTTTGTCCAAAAGAGGCACAAAAACGGCGGCAGAAATTTGAACCAAATTGTTGACATGGTAACACTGCAGTAAAAGTTACATGTCAAGATTAGACTAATCATGGCATTACATTTAAATAACAGTACAAACTTCGTGATATATCATGTACTTGAAGAAATGAATTGGTCCAAGAAACCGGAGGTTGTTCGCCTCATGCAAGAGTGGCTCAAAATGGTATTGATTTACACTACCTTTGATTTAAATTATCATCTGACTGTCCATCCAGCAGACTTGTAGTCGTATTTGTAGTCCACATGACTGTTCTCAAGGGATTCAATTTCTCCGAGGATCTCATTCTCATCTGACGAAATGATAAAAGGGAATCCGTTTTCGAAATACACCGCGAAATTTCTAACAATTGTCAACTCTCAACGGGAGTCTTTTCCCCAGGTATTTTTTCTGGGTCACCAAACTCGGATCATGGTTGGAAAGCAGCTGGAAAGCCCTAGTCAACAAACACGGTGGGTGTTGGTCAACCCCGGGGAGATTGCAAATCAAGGACAATTACCTCATTCCACTAGCCTCCGGCTTAAGAAGAGTAGCGATATACCATATGAAGATAGATTTCAGAAACTGTCACAATACGCAGGAAAAAAAGCATCAAGTGGATTCGGAAAACTATAATTAATTTGAGAACAAAACACTGCGGCTCGCTTGGCATTCGTTTCCTACACTTCAATGGTCTACTGATCGCACGTTTTCCACCCCCCGACTAATCACCCCCTGTTCCCACGGCATGCGGTGTGGAAATGATGCACACCCATGCCATGCGTTGTGTCACAGCCCAGTGGATCAGTGAAGACGGGCGTGATTAAGGTGAGCCTCAAATCGATAAAAACAAATGGTGACACACTGCTGGATGCGATCTATAGGTCAGGTACAACTGGATGTGGTTTGTCTATGCTATCGACGATAGCTCAGTCATCAAAGATCACCACAATAAAATTGCGGGTGAATTGTATACGATGTGGGACGAGGGATGCACTTTTCATTGCGCAATCAAAAAAATTGTTGAAAGGCTTAAGATCAATATTGACACTGGTCAGAATTATCGACGTGATCATTGATGATCACACTGTCAGCGACCTAGAAACCACAACCAACTGCAATTTCATGTAATCAGTTCCCTTCAACATTTTTGTGAGCTGAAGCCCACAGGATGAGTTGAATTCAACCGTTTCGTGGTAATCGCACCAGTTGTGCAACAAGGGACCTGGCGCTTGCCCAACTAACCCGAGTGAGAAAACCACACCTTGTTCATAGCCGTGAGTCTTAGGCAGGCCCGGTGAACTTCAACTGTGCAGCAGGTGTGTCATCAGCACACGGATGGACTGGACGTGACAAAAAGAACATTACAAAACGTACAGCTGTGCCTCAGTTGTTGGTCACTGTTAATACTTTCAGGGATATGCGCAATAGACTTTAGGTACACTAATCAATAGAACTGAGCCAAACACAACGGAGTCGATTCATTTGAGAAAGGGAGATACATCGTTTTTGGCTTTTCTCTCTCCGGTTTTCGCTTTGTTGAAAAACTGCGGTGCAGATAGGAAAATTATCCAGATTGCGTATGTTGTGACTCCCTCTTGCCTCTTCGAGAGGAAAGAGGGATATGTGGGCAGTAATGGAAACCGGTAACCTAAGCCCCGGGATTCGGAGTGGCGAACCACATAAGGCCGCGCTAGGTTAGGCGTGTTACTGAACCGGACAACAGCAAAACTGCCTATCACAAAAACTAGGGACCTTCTCGGTGTCACGCAACAGATCAGTTGGGATGTGGGCAGACTGAGGTGTGTTACCACGGACAAAATGATGATGGAAATAATCGAGGCAAACATGCATCCCTCTTCGCATACAGTCAACTTCCCACCATGTCGCACCCCTGAGAACTCACATTTTCTAATATCATCCCACTTTTTCGAAAACCCAAACCAACCGTATGCATAATAATGTAGTTTCTGACTATGCAATGTCCTCCCTCCCCCCCCCCCCCAGTATGCCGCAGTTCCTGATACCTATTCACTTGGTCGTTGACCGATGTTATGGACGACCAGTGACCATCCACCTTGAAATGTCGCACTCAGCCAATGGCATTTCACCTAGTGTGACGCGTTCACAGCACTGTTCCCTGATTTGCTAATCCTAATCCTTGAGAGGAAGAAACACCGATGCAGGCGATCGGAGACAGTGTTATTTGACGTCAAAATGTGCAAGCGCCTATCGATCAGGGAGAAGCACAATGTGTATCTCTTTCTCTCTCTCTATTTAAGCATGCGGTTTTGCTTCACCAGGTGAGATGCATTCAACCAACGTTCAGATCAGGGAAAAAGTATAATTTAACCAAGACTGGTGAGAAAACCTAATTTGTGATAGCGATGCACAACGCCGCAATCGTGCGAATCAAACAGCGGTTGATCATTAATGAATGAGGGAATACATTATTCCATGAATGATAGTCTAAAAACACGAGTTAGGTATTGATCAGTGTGCAAGCCGAGGACAACTGTATCATATGATCGGGCAGGTGTTACGAATGGGCGAACTATTGCATACCCAGCAAATCACTTCCAATCACATTTATCACTGCAAAGACGGACAACGACCGGAGTGATACGCGAACTGTAGAACAAGTAGGGACCTCCAAAATTCTCAGTATGGTCCGGGGTGGGGTTGGGGTNTCATTGCCTTCCCGTGGCTGACGTGATTTCCCACAAAAGCGAGAGGACGAAGAACTAACATTCAGGGCTATAACTAGATTGTTGAACGACAGGTAATTCTGAAAAATTGTTTTTTTGGCTTTCTCTCGTTTTGGCTCATCCAAACATTCCTATACGGATCAAATACTATGAGCACGACGCACAATTTCTTCAAAGACATCCGTTCGAACTTTGGATGTGACACCCTGAAAGACTGGTAATTCACTTACGGGGGGAGATAAACTCTAATTCCAAATCAAACAAGAAGGTGGATTGGACACCTTGGATGTTTGACCTTGTCCCTAGGGGATATGATCCGATTAAGTAGCAACCAGCCCCCAATGGATTGCGGTTTTAACACACCGCCCGGCTGACTTGTGGGTTAGGCTTTGGCTCCGTTTGTGAATTACCCAAGAAAATTCGCCGTGCCTTAGCCTGGGCAACCTGGCAGTATCCGAACTTTGTTCTTTTTCCATACAGATTATCATACCGTAATTTGTTTGGTACAAAGTTTGACCTCAGGCGAGTGTGAAATATAACATGATATGGCCAGATTTTCTACGAATGGATGGATCGATGATGGAGGTGGTATACAAATCACTAAAGAATCACACAGTTGGAATAAGTACCAGAAAAGGGAAAAACGCAAACATGTCCTTCATCTTAGCCCCAAGTCGTTGGCTATCTGAGCTTTGTTTCAAGTGTTTCATTATCTGATATTAATGCGTATCAATCAGATGACTTCCATACCACAGGATCACCAACCTAAGCGAATTGCCACGAGAAAGCACGATAACAAACGTTCAGAGGATAAACTGTGAGGTCGGAAAACAGGCCGTTACCATCATCATTATAGGTTAGANNTTAAAAATCGATTCTCGTAGCAAAATTCATTTTCACCGGTTCGCCGAGTTTGGCAATTCTACAAGCACTGAAGATGTCACTTCGGCTGGTGTTAAGACCGTATTTCGTTAAACTCCAAACTCCCCTCGTTCAAAGTTGTTCATTAGGAGATGAGCTGATTCAAACGATTCAATTTCGTGTAAAAAAGCGACAGTAATAACAAGAAGAAAAACGTTGATCACAAACAGTGAATAAAATGCACATCACCCACCAACCCAGCTCACTCACCCCGGCCATATTCAAAGCATGCTCATATCGGTCCATGAGTTGCACAACTTTATTGGGAAGTTGACAGTTCGGAGCTTGACTGTTAACTTGCTGGGCCCGCCTCAAACACAACTCG